AATAAAATTGATTTGGACAGCTTTCGCACATACGTCTTAGCTGCACATACAATACTAAATGAGCACCAGTCGTCCCAATTTTGTATTTTTAGAGCAGACGGCGAGCGGTACGGATGGGTGAAGTGGATGGCAGTGATGTTGAGTCGGCCCGAAATCTCCGAGAGAAGCCATTGCTGATGAGAGTCAGCGGGAAACTCTATGACATCGCGTTGTTTGCGAGGAAGCATCCGGGCGGGCAGAGGGTTTGTCATTTCAAGAGAAATCTTTTGATTCGGTCGGACGGTCCACCGGGCCTTCTGTTACCTGCGAAGGTGTTGTTTTTCGAGTAGTCTGACTCGGTATTGCCCGAGCACGGGACGGAGACAGACTGTCGTATTTTTAAGGTACTCTGTGACGTGGGCCGTTCCCAACGTGTGGTTCAGGCTTCACAGCGGTGGCATCTTCTTAATCACGGTCTTTGACAAACTTCCGGTTCTACATTTTTGCTTCTGTTAGGTGCTGAAGCGACTGGCTGGCGAAGATGTCGATTTGTATATGACGGGTGCGAAGCGTATTCTTGGCGTCAGGCACGAACATTCAGCGGCCGCATTCCGAATGCTCGAGAAGTACTCGGTGGAGAGATGCGTTGAGGTATCTTCTCAACCCGTGGATGATGCAGCTGAGCTCAGACATGCGCTAAACGAATGCGCATTCACTGGCTTCTTTTCGTGCATGGACAGTTCTGTGTGCTCATGCCACTCCAACTGAATGTGTGTCTCTCATCAGTGCTACTATTTTTATGCGTTTTGTATTGTGTAACAGCAACGCAAAACGCATATTGTCATGCCTTTGACTCTGTGTGATTCCGAATGCTTTTGTGCCGCACTTTCAACCACAAAAGCTAGTAAGCTGGTCCCTCCTGTCCGTGTGCGATCCCGCAAATTCAAATTCAGCTTTCAAGTGTGCCGTATGACTCACTGAGATTTTTGTGGGGAGAATTGTTCTGGGAACCGGAAGAGCTAGAAGGTTGAGATCTCAAGAGATTGTTTTCTGCCTATGCTGTGATCTCAAAAGCGCAAATTTGTCTTTAAACTGTTCCGCAAGCTCTCACACATGGCTAGTTGAAAGTATTGGCGCCAAAGTCACTAAATCGAAGGGCAAAAAATTATGAAGCTGAAGTGTTAAAAGAATGCTCCGCGTCCATGTACGACCCAGACTTCTAAATTTAGCTTTCACTCGCTCTTACATTTCGCTCGCCGATACGTGAAATTCTTAATGGGAAATTTTTCAGCTTAAGAACTGAACAAAAAATCTATTTTTGCACGTGCCAAAGTTTAAAACAGTGAAAACTTTTAAAAAGCAAAGTGCCCGCTCTACGGAACTGCGCAAATCGTAGGATCTTATAGTGTGCGCCGCTCTCTATTGTGAAATATATAAATGTCAGTTATTTTTTCTTAGGCGGCTGCCCTTTTGGTAGCGCACTTTTCATGCTTACCCTTTAACCTTCTGGGTTTTTTTTTTCATGCTTTTTATTATGATTCTTCAGAAGGAAATTCCAAATGGTACTTAGATTATTT